ATTACAGTTCCTCAGACAAAGAAATCAGCCTTCCATTTTTCTCTCTTGTCTGTCTTTTCTCCTCTTTCCCCATGCCATCCTTTTCTCTCTCTCGCTCACACCATCACTCATGTTTTCTCTCCCTCCTCGCCAGTCGTCATTGTTCTGTCTCTTTTAAATTATGTCTAATTAAAAACAAAAATCCTCTCAAAAAAACCTTTAATAAAGCAAGCAAACATGAATATAAAAAAATATAAATACAATAAAAATAAATAAAGATTGTGGTAATCTGAATATATTTTTACTTTTATGGAAAGGTGAAAGAGTTCTTTCTGTTTTTCTTCTGCTCAGTTTTTATGACAAGTCCATATTTTTACAGTGATTGCATGGACTCCACAGGTTGCTGCATTACACCATCCTGCCCTTTTTTAATAGATTCCTTCCTTTATGGTTAATGTCATTTCAGCCCCAAAGCCTTTTTATCCTGATCCATCCATGGTTTTTATGAAGATTTAGCCGAGCTGAGGCGAGCAGCGAGGGGAGCTCGTCCGTCCCCCTCTTTAGTTTATTGGGTTATGTTTGGGAGTAGGTTGGCCAACAAATAGGATTTAGATACAATGTCATTATAATAGATCTGCCGGTTGTGAAGGAAGCGGATCGATAGGTTTCAAAAATCAATCAGCCCGTTCGCACGGGTCGAAAGAGGCAGCAGGTACACACAGACAGGAAGTGATGCTGCCAGACGACTGTCCGCAGAAAACCTCACATCTCACAAATGATGAACGTTCAAGTACGTCCTGTCTTTTTTGGTACCTTTGGAAATATCCTTGAATTTAGACTAAAGTTCTGACTTTGAATAATTCCATCATGCTTCAACAATGAAATATTTTAAACCCATCAGTAAGACTGATGACTGACTGTGATCAGTTATGATAATGCTGGTTTTGTCATCTTTGTTGCTTTATTTGGTGAGTAAAGGAAAATTTTTTCAACTGGGTCTTATTCTTATAATGGTATCCATTTTCAGTGTTTCCACAGAGGGAAATATAGATGATACAAATTGTCCTGAAAGGCTTTGATTGCATTATAGGGGTTATAATCGATAGGATGACCCATAATCTTCCTTTACATTGCTCTAAGACAGTGGTTCCCAACCTGGTGGTCGGGTACCCCCACTAGGGGTCACCAAAGCTTGGTGGGGGGTCGCGAGGCCTTCCTGATTTTAAGATGACTAGAAACGCATATACATATTCCTATATCACAGGATTTGGTTTACTTAAGTGAAGAAAAGTAAATTGTCTAATAGAACAATGACCAAGCATCAGGGAAAAGAAAACACTGAATTTGTCAAAAAAAAGAAGCTTATTAAGTCTGTATGATTGTTAACAATGATTTAAAAAAATACGTAATACAGACAGAGAACTGTATAGAAAGTTCCCTCAATAGGAAAAAAGGTCTGCACAGTTACTGAGTTAAATATTTGAGTTCATTATAGTTTTTAATATAATATGAAGTCAGGGGTTGTCAGTTTACTGAATGATAGAAAAGGGGTCCCTTAATCCCTTAAGGAAAAAGGTTCAGAACCACTGCTCTAAGAAGTGGAGGACACAATAATGCCATAGGTTCTTTAACAAAAAAAGAAAAGAAAAAAACCTAAAACTAAACTAAACTAAACTTTTAAAAAACTTTAAATTATACATACACAGTCATCCTAGATCAAATTATTGATAAATTATATTTCCCCAGAAGAAACACAGAGGAGGTGACAGTAGTTTTTAATCTTGCCTAGACTCATATGCAGATATGTTTTATAGAGATGGTCGATCTCCTGAAATGTATCCATAACTTTTACTATAGATGAGATGTTACAGATATAAAACTAACTGTGTTTCTGCAGCTGCACAGCTTCAACTCTCCCCTCAAATGTGACAATGTTTCCAGAACAGCAGCCATGCTTATTCCATTTTAAATATCAGAAACGAACACCAATGACAGTGCAGCAAGGTGTGTCCATCCAATCAGGCTTCAAAAGGTTTATTGACTGTGGGTAGTGAACCCACCAGTGCGTATAAACCACACATTGTACACTTGTTCTCCACTCTCCTCTGTAAGGATGCTAAGAAATGAATCCCAATCCCCATCATTCATCATTTCCAACAGTTTCCAAGTTTAAAATGGACAACCAACGGTCCACACCCCTGTCTGTAAAAGCAAGGTTAAATGCAACAAAATTTTTTGATTTTGTCCACGAAACCTGCAGATACCCCTTCTCATCTGTCTGAATCAGTCTCTCTTTACTTTCTCTTTTGCTGTAAATCTCAACTTTTTAGTGATTCTGGTTGGGAGTCTATCTCTAATTCTGTTATCTACTGGCCCAGTCTGGCCTGGGGATGGATGCCATCTATAATCCATTTATCAGAGCCGGCCGCTGGGCCTTCTTCCAAATGACAGCTGGCCTTTAGCAATCTCATTATAAAAAGCACCAGGATATAGTATGGAAATATGGGGGGAGGGGGCTCCCAGGGTTTTGAAAAATGGAGAAACAAACATGCAATGGACAAAATATTAGAACCAAATCTTTTTTAAATGTATACATTTCTGTATGTCTTAAATCACACTGTTCAATATTTTTTTCCAAGAAACAGTAATGGTTACACTACTGCACAGCGCCAAGAGTTGATGCCGATCACTGCCTGTGAATCTCAGGTGTCTCGTGGATAAAATCCAAATGCAATGTAATATGGCCAGATAACAAATCTAATTGTTGTCCATTTTGGGTTACATGCCAGTCAAGTTCGGACCTTCGCCAGTGGTAGTAATGGACTTGAAGCTGTTTGGTAACTGCCAAAAATAGCAGTTGCATCTTACCACAGTCAAGTAATATTTTCTTCATATGTACACTGTGGGAAATCCTGCTGATTAATCACAGCCTCCCTTTATCCTGAGTTGTCTATTTTTAGTTTACAGTCATCATTCCCCTCATTTAGGTTCATGTTAATAGATCCAACACACAAAGAGAAAACTCCATTAAGATTAACAGGTAGTGGAGCTTTTATTTTCTGCCCAAACCCGATTGGACCCCAAACATCCTGCTACGTTCAGTCCCAAAACTGCTGCGTTAGGTTAGGTTTAGGTCAGGCTCGGACAGAATTAGATTAAAAAAAATAGAGATTTCATATTTTATTATTAATGTATGCAACTGGTTATTGATTCGTTTTTGAAATAGGTTTTTACTATATTATATGCACAATGTAGTTGACTTGAGTCTGTAATCGGGTGGTTTGGGCCTTGGGTCAGGTATAATCTTTTAGGCCTGATCAAAGCCCTAACAGGAAGTACACACAGCAGTGACCAGCTCTCTATCTCTCCCTCTATTCTTCACACCCATTGTGCTTGCTCACCCCATACTCCACTCAGACACTGTGTGTGTGTACGTCTATGTGTATGTGTGTGTGTGGTGAGCGAATACTTGTTCCACTGCAATACAAATCCATAATAATGCTGTGCTTGCTCATCCAGAGAGAGAGAAAATAAGAAATAGAAATCAGGGTGGAGGCGGTGGGAGTGTGTGTGTGTGTGTTTTTATGTAGTCCTTATTGGGCCTTTGATCCAAGGTGTGTAAGGAGCTCTCATCTCCCACTGTGATACTCATACAGACACACACACACACACATATTGGTCACACACACACTCTTGTATTCCTCTTAGGACTGCAGCAGTTCCCCACTGTGTAGACCTTGGTACACGCACACACACAAAAGAGGTTATTTTGGGGTCGTCTTGGTGAACACAATGGAAGGACACGCCCACACGCACACACACACATATAATAAAAGGGTTTCCAGTTGCACGTGTCCAAAATCCTTCCTGAGGTCTGTGAAAATGACTGTGTGTGTGTGTGTACTGTGACTAAAGGCTTTCAGCGGGACAATGAGACGTGTGCCTGCGTGTGTGTGTGTGTGTGTGTGTGTGTAAGTAATGGTTAATACCAGGACAATAGAAGTGTGCCTGTTCAGTTGTTATCGGCTCACTGGAGACTCACAGGCCTGCTGTTTTTTTTTTAAACCACGTTGCACCATGAAAAGGGAGAAAAAGAAAGAGATGAAAACCAAAAAAAATTTCCCCCACGCACTCTGTTCAGCTAAAACATCTTTGAAAGAGTCTTTAAAACATGTTCTTGTTCAATGGTCTTAATTTATCTAAATTTAGAAAGTCACTAAAACCAATAAAGTATGTTGATAGCAGTGTGTATAGGTCTGATTTCTTTTCAGGTCCTGCAGGTTTGTATATTAATGTAATTCAATAAAGTTTCCTCATCATTTGACGGATATTAGATGGAGCTGTTGGCAGTTTTTTTTTTCACAATTATGATATTTCCAAGAGGCAGATTTGAGAATTGAGACCAATTTAAAATACGTAAATTGGCTTATTTTTTTCTTTGCTTTAAATGCATAACTGGCCCATAATTAGCCAGCCATGTTATATAGTGAAGTATAGTGCATGCTATTGTATCGTTTAATAAATAGTCAGCAATTTAACATAAATATAATAGGTTTAAAATATATAAATGTATTATTTATGTATTTTCTCAAATTCACACAGTTGAATAAGGGTGTAACTGCTTGGGGGTTTTGGGGGATAAAATGTCCGAAAATGTATAGAATCCCTGCTATAAGCTATACTGTATTATGATCAAATATATTTAACAATAATGCAGACACAATGCAATACAATTGCCAGTGTTGGCAAAGTGGTCAATTGTCCCAAAAACCCCCGGCTTTTTTTTTAAGCATCTGTGTCAAAATGTAGTCTTGAAGACCTTAGTAGTTCAGTGTGTATTGTTCTCACATGGTGCATATTTCTAAATTAATTTGTGAGACTGCAGAAGTTTTGCTTTGAGACGCACTATCACGTTGTTTGGGATCTCCATGTCCTGGGGATTAACCAGGGTTAACATTTCTTAATTAACGAGAACCACCACAAGACAATTATGTTTATTTGTCTGTCTGTCTTTCTGCCAGGCTGTCTGTCCAACCTTCCACCAAATGCGAAGAAGATCTCCAACTCGTACGAGGAGCGCCGTAAACAAGCCACTGCCATCGTGCTGTTGGGGGTCATCGGGGCTGAGTTTGGCGCTGAGATTGAACCTCCAAAGGGTGCAGCACGGGCTCGAGCCGGCGGACAGGCGCCTGAGGGCTTCGGACTGACGAGCGGAGGGTCTTCCAACTACTCACTGGCCAGGCACACATGTAAGTGCAGCGATAACCCACTCATGGGTCATATTTACTTGATATCTACAAATAATGTCATAATTCCAATGTGATCAGTAAGTCCAGATATCTGCATTTACAGTCTGAGAAGTAAGAGTGATAATTCAAGATACTCACAATGTACAATTTAGCGATAGAGGATAAATGTTAAAAACCAATATTAGTATGTTAAAGACATGTATCGGTCAAATATTTCCTTCTTAGATAAGTATGACCAAGCAGCTTTGTTGTCATTTTTACAACTCCCAGCATGCACCAGGGCATGTTTGTTCCTGCATTGTTAATGGTGTTGTTTGGCCTGTTTTAGTGTCACTTAACATAAATCTTTAGCTTTACTACAAGGCTCTTTTTTTTTCTTTTTTTTTTTTCTTTTTTACAAACAGTCACTTTAAAAAGGTGACACCATGCGTGGTGCTGCAGTTGATTTTCTTTCTTTGTGATTCTTTATATTTCTATAATCTTGTTTCTGAATTGTTTCCACAATAATGGAGATACGGAAAAAACCTTCTTGTCCAGCTTTTGGTTTCTAAACACTGACTCAAACTCCCTTTGAGTGGGCTCCTCTCCCCAATCAGTAATGAGGGCCTGGACAGTTTGATTTGTCCAACAAGTATTTCTCAATGTTCTTTTTTAGGAGTGTGGCTATAGGGATGGTAGAGTCAGCTGGTGCATCACTTTGGTCCAGACTTTCCTCCAGCACCACCATGAGGTTGAGTTTGGGTTTGTGTAAAACAGCTCAACCACTTTTGGATGGATTGAAAAATAACTTATGTGGTCCCCTGACCCCTTGACCAGTCTTTTGGTTTGTATACCTCCAAAAAAAATTACATTCATCATCTACTTCAGCTGCTAGCTAGTGTTTAGTGCTATTTAGTAAATGTTAGCATGCTAAACTAAGACGTTACGTTCAACGTTACCTTCTCAATGTCAGCATTGCCATTGTGAACATGTTAGCATTTAGTGCAAAGCACTGCTGTGCCCAAGTATAGTCTCACAGAACTGCTAACATGGTTGTAGACTCTTAGTTTTGTTAGAATAATGGTTTTATGGCAGTTACTGTTGTTGTGTTTGTTGTAGTCTTCCTTGTTATGAAGTGATGTCTAATCTCCTCTACCAATCATCGACAACTTCTCATACCAAAATGTTCAGTGGTTCCTGTTTTGGTCCAGAATCACGGTCTTTCCAAACTCACAACTACACAACTGACAAAGTAGAAACTTCAGTGTCGGATTAGAGGTGAGGGGAGAGATGGGATTGATTTTCACCCACCAAGCTTGACACCTTAAGGAGCTTGGCACTGACTTTCACACACACTCACATACACACACACATTCACTGAGCCCAGGCTGTGCCACGCTGTGCCTGCAGCGTTGGACCTTGGTGGGCATCAAACCTGCACTAAGCAGAGCTGCTCTTCCATCCCGCTGCTCCTGAGCTCTGATTGGCTGCCTCTGGGGGTGTCCGCCCAGCGACAGAGCCTGTGCTCTCACTGATAGGCTGTGGAGCGTGATGCTGCTTAGTTGGACCTGTACACAGCAGTCAGCTCACCTGTGTGGACTCGCCAGACACATACACAGAAACCCCAGAAAACCCCAGAAAACCCCAGAAAACCCATGTCATCAGATGAAAATAACTCAAGGTTTAATTGATCCCCTTTAGTAGAGCTCCACCCTTTTAAAACCTTTCACTGACCCCTCAGGCTGGGTGTCATTTGGACACTGTGATACCATATGATAATTTTTTCACTAAACTGGGTAAACCAAACTTCTCAGTCATCAGTGTCTAATGGAGTCATACTAGAACTCTGCCTAGATAAAATACAATAAAAAAGTTGGAAAAATTCTTAATTTAGAAAAAGTTAAAAGGACAAAGATCCTATAATGGACAAATTCACCACTGTTTCTCACCCAAAAAGCAACAGGCCTCATGCAAGAACATTTCTGTATTCTCTTCCTAAGCCTCTTGATATTTACCGTGAGGCCTGCTCTTACATGTGCCCCAAGTCAAACAGCAAACTCTGTGAACTGCACAACCTTGGTGTCTTTTCAACAATTCCACCTGGTCAAGAGTGGGTTATATAAGCCTACCTGTTCTACTACTTGTCCTATAGCTGCCCTACTCTACTTTTAGCATGTCACAAAAGTAGAACAAGAAGTAAACACACAATTATTGAGACAAACTGGCAGCAAGGCTGACTTGCTGAGTGGTTTTGTTGGCAAGTTTCATTCATATAAATGTCACAAGAGTAAGAATAACTTCACACTGTGAAGCTTGAAGCCCTGCGGTCAGAAACAAGCATATGAAAGCGTAACAGCATCAGTGTCGGTATAAGGGGATTTGAAATATAGAGAACATCTTATTATAGCTGTCAACATGGTGTCATCACAGAGTCGTACAGTGACATAAATAAAGAGGGAATGGTTTGACATGACATTACATGCTTGAGCAAAGCAGTCTGGGATTACAAGGTGAGACGGTCAAGACGATGTGACGGTCTCAGAGATGGAGGAGAGAATACATTCATCAGGTTTCAGGTATAGAGGATTTTACCTGGACAGTGACCTGTATACTATATTTGACAAGTAACTACTGAATTTAAGTATGATCATACCAACATACCAAAATGATAGTCAAATATAGATCAGGTCAATTTGCCATATAAAACCCTACAGCAGAGGTGGTGAGTGCAAAGTTAGCATAGCCATGTTTCCAACGTATTTGAAGGGCATTTTGAAGTATTGCATCACAAAAGTTTGATGGAAATAGCAAAATTACAAAAACTTCGAACTTCAAAAAACTCTTAATGCTCTCAATGGGACTTTTTCTGAATAAGTTGTGACTGTTTCCATGATCGCCCTACACAGATCTGACGGAACCTCCCTCACATTATTACATGAAACAAACAGAAATGATACCGATTATCTCAATGAACCAACTCCTAATCATATAACACATTCACATTTTCCTCTGCCGATTTACTTGAAATTCAGTTATAATTTGCAATACTTTTGGGAAACACAGCAAATGGCTACATTTACGAGACCGGGTTGAAAAATGTCCATAATTTCCCTTTGGGGGTATGTGACGACCCAGGTCATGTTACAAGAAAGCAGTATAGGTTTAATATAGGAATGAATAAAAGTCTTATGTCAAAGTCACACACTTTGTTACCTATTCATCCACCTCTTCTCCTTAATCAGATTTTGAGGGTGTAATGTCATGCCACCCCTGCTTTTATTCCTTACAGACGATAATTCCTAATTCACATGGCCTCTAGACGTCCTTGTCACTTTAACCTAAACATAATTCATATTTAGCCATTAGAACATCGACTGATGCTGTTGTTTTTCTTGGAGGACAATTTCTACTAACTGAACTGAACTGGAGGGTGCTGCTTTAAAAACCGCAGAGCAGCCTACTCCTTCAACTGACCCCGCAGAGAGACTGAACCCTTTAAAACATATAATTACTTCATAAAAAGCTCAAGCAGACAATTGCAGATTTATGTAAAAAGCATGTGGTGGAGGCAGTTTGTATGCTTTCTCATGTATTATGCTACTTTTAGTCCTGCATCTTCCACCATTTTATCCTTCTTTTCCTTTCTCTGTCCTTTTTCCAGCTCTCATTCAGTCTGTTGTTTTTCTCCCTCCTTCCAATCTCCATCTCCCCCTCTCCTCTCTCTGTTATGAAATTGAAAGATGGATTGGTGTTGTTGGCATACAGCGCTGTGTGTGTGATGAATGAGAGCTGTCCACCCAGAGAGAGGGAGGGTACAGTAGTCTATACAGCACAGTATAGATTGATGTTTTCATATGGCGAGGCGGGAAATGTAGGGAAGATGGAGGGGGAGATTGAGCTTAAGGAAAGGAGGAGGGAAGGGAGGAAGGAATGAAGGACAGATGATGACAGAGGGAAGGGGGGATCTGGTTGGACAGGATAACAGAGACAAACTGTACATCAGTGTACCATCTCTGGACAATAACGCTCATAGTAAATGTCAAAATACCTCGAGTCCCTTCTGAGGCCCATTCACTGTGAACGGTGGCATTTTAAAACATTCATGAGAGCTGATTGGAGTTTTATTTTGTATTATAGAAAATTGAGCAGGGTCAGTATGTGAGATGAACTTGAAGGGTTTAAGCTATCATAAAGTGTATTTCTATCCACATTTTTTAAGAAAGCTTTCTGTGTGGAAGAGTTACATTTATATATCTGAATAAGAGCTCTTTACAGGTTTTTGACACTCATTCTCCCACTTATTCAAACCGCCAATCCTGTGATCAGTGGACTTCCTCCTGAGCCACAGTCATCCCCATGGTGGAACGTGAAAAAAACAAAAAAAGACCTATGTACCCACAAGACATGAAATAGTAGGGTAAACACAGGTGTTATCAGTGATATGAATTAAGGTTCTGTTCCATTCAGGTCAAAGAAAGTCAGGGTGCTGCTATTGTTCATGTTGGAAAGGCTCTGCTACACTAAATGGAACGGAACCTTAAACATTATCATTGGAAAAACCCTGTTTACCCTAATATTTGATGTCAAAACGGCTGTTATGAGAAGGGTATTTTGCCACAGTAGCCAAATATTGGGCTGACATCCATGAACAAAATCATTTTTTTAATGATTCTAACTTCTTGAACATTTTAGCATTAGCCACAACTTGGTCATTGGCTAGCAAAACGTGAGGACATTAGCACAGCAAAAGTAATGTGCATGCCTTCCCAAAGTACTGGAAGCTAGGTGACGTCGAGACTACTTGGAGGGCTTGTTGGCGATCTAACCGCTAATATGCTAGTTAACCAGGAACATGCTGGTGCTAGAGCGTACAGTAGCAAACTAGCCAGCTTGCTGGATTGTTACACAGGTGTAAGTTTGAATCTTGCTCTGGCCAATTACAGCACTGATGGTTAACGGCCATCTTTAATTGCATGTATGCAATGGTTGTTGACAAAATGCTACTCTTATTATTTGAGAATGTGTATCATATACCGTATGTATACAGAAGAGCACCTCTCCCTTTTTCTCTCTCAAACTGGCTCCCATTATTTCTCTTTTCGTATTGTTTTTTTTTTTCTCTCTCCTTTCTCTCGGCAGCCAGTCTGACCCGGCTCTCATCCACTAACCAAGTCCCCAACATTGATTTACCTTCACCTCTCATTTACGCTCAAACAGAGGAAGAGAAGGAGAAGGCGGGATGCAGGGCAGGTGGAGGAAAGAAAGTAGAAAGCCTGTTAGTGGTCGACTCGGCCTGGCAAACTTTAGACGTGACAAATCTGTCACTATTTCACACTCTCTACTTCCCTTCCTCCTTTATTCCTCCCTACTTCCTTCCTCTCTCACTCCCTCCCTCCCCCTCCTCCTCCCCCTGCTCTAATCACCCTCTCCGTGTTAATGTGACATGTTTACTACTCTAACCAACAGCTCATTATGGCCGGCTGAGGCTTTGTCAATAGCTATTGGTTCATTTGGGTTCGGGTCTGCCTTTAAATAAAGATGTCCAGCGTGAGAAATGGACCTGAGTCCGGACCTCTGTCACTTCCTGCTCACCAACTCAAAGGGAGGGGCTGTAAATTTGAATCTCACTCCAGCCAATTACAGCACTGATTGTTAATGGCCATCTTTAATTGTCCAGAAAAATAAATAAATAGAGGCTTCTAAATGCAAATGTGGCTATCAGATTAAACCTCCATCAACTTCCTTATAAACACCACCCCCTTCACACACACACACACACACACACACACACACACCTGCCCACCCACAGTCACTGTCACTGTCACTGCACACAGCGTGAACTTTGACCTCATGACCTCTGAGGCCTGTTCTGTGTTGGGAGGGGTCCGCTTGTTCAGTGTGTGGCGAGCACGTACACACATATTAACAATGTCAGAGGTTTGAATTTGAATAGTGACCTTCTGCCCCATGACCCCTAAATCATACTGCCCCCCCTCTCCATCCTCCCACACAGTCACCTACCAAGTTTATTTATTGATTATCAGCTTATACAAAAGTAATGTTAAGTTGATTTGCTCTTAGGAGGATAGTAATGTTTGCAAATGGCAGTCAATACTTTCTGACTTTCTGTCCCTGCCCCGGCTATGGCTCTCAGCCCCAAGCCCATGACTACTGAAGACACACATTGTTTTAAAATGACTTTTTTCATATTTCCTTTTATATGGAGCAATAATTTAAAGGTCCAGTTGTGTTGAATTTATCTAGTGGTGAAATTACAGGTCGCAACCAACTGAACATCCTGGAGCCAGTGTTTCTGTGGCGGGCAGAAACTTTGGAGCTGCACCAAACATGCACCCTGTCAGTATTGAATTAAGACACAATTACTATGGAAAAACTCTGTTTTCTGAACCTTTTTTGTGGGTCATCTTAAAATAACACACCGCTAGAGGATATTTATGATCATCGGGTATTAAACAGAATCTATCCGAATCAGGTAGAAAAAGCATAAAGCAATCGTATAACTGAGAGTGTAATTGATTTCTGTCGGTGGTCTTGACAGAATGATTGTAATAATCACTAACTGGAGGTCAAAGTTCATCACTGCTGATATTTATGTCCACTGTTTGTATGTATATTGATGTATGAAACAAAAACATTGATTGATTTTAGCTCTTACATCTTTGCTCACATCATGTTGTTCACCAGCTGAGGGTCAAAGTTCAGCACCCTATCACTGATTCAGTCACAGCAAGCTAAGAGCACACCTATTCTGCATGTTTGACTCCAACAGACATAAAATAACTGCTAACAAACGTTAGCGTCGATGTCCATCTCTTACAGTCTATGTCGCCCATAACTATGTAGCATGACGATGCTAACACAGTTAATGCTCTAACTGTCGCTGCCGGTATACATTATAACAGTCGTACCCTGCGATGCTAACATGGTTAGCCTCTAGCTATATCTTTCATAGCCCCATACATAGGCTGTGTGTGTGTGTGGATATAAACCAATAAAGCAGGGGGTTTGCCATTTAAGGCGGGCTGATGATGAAATGCCAGGAGATCCAGAAGATGAGATTAGCTGTGTGTGTCTGGAGACTGGAGGACCTTTAGAGCCACCACATGATTATAAATACTTAAAGTAAATGATCTGTTTTATATTATATGTTTCTTCATATTATGACTGTTTAGCCTTTACATTTCAAGCGAAAATGCAATCAACTGTATTGATTTCTGAATGGAGAGACAGTAGAAGAAGCAAAAGGCCTTCCTGATGCTAATGTATTGTCTGTGAGAGAAATTTAGGAAGGAAATTATAAGCCACAGAAGCAACGAGAGATTCATATGGTTTTCCAGACGTTTTCCAAAAGCCTCTCTACATCTTGATTTTCCTCTGACTTTATCTTTTTGAAGCGCTTTGAGAAGATTCTGCTAAAAGCTCTGGACCTCAGGCTTCAGTGGGTGAGACAGGCAGACAGAAAGGGTGCATGTGTGTATGCGTTTGGGGGAGGGGGGTGTTATTGAGGGATGGCGATATTTTCTGGAGTCTTAATGGTCAGTCTGTCCCCACAGAGACTGGCTCAAATGTCAGGTCAGCTATGAGGTGACCCCCATCCTCCATCCTGCTCGCTGTCTTTATCCTCTGAGTGTGTGTGTATATGTGTGTGTATATGTGTGTGTGTATGCGTGTGTATGAGTGTGTGTGCGTGCCTTGCACAAAATTTTAATCGTTTTTACCCAAACCTCATTTGAAACATTAGGGTTTATTAGTTTTTGGTTGTAAAAAGATAGATTTTTTTATTGACATTCCTTTGTTTGACATGGCTCCCATGTTTCAGATGGCGCTCTACAGTAACAGTGAAGTCCTGTAGAACTCATATGGTCATGGGTCGTCAACCAGAGTCTGTTTAAATTCTTTAAGGTGTCGAAAATGCAAATGAGCTGGTACATTCACATTGATAATGGTGTTGAATGTGCACTGTCCCCTTAGAAATTGAACGGGCAGATTTATAGCAAAAATCTAAAGTGTGAAATAAGAGACATCATGGAGGCTGATACAGCTGCACTGTGTCAGTTTTAAATGTATCTAAATGCCTTCTTCACATTTTAATTCTGTTGTGTCCTAATATTATTAACGGCTGCAACAAAAAGAGAGAAAGAAATTCTGAAATAAGAGCTGATTAAGTCGTAGCATTGTTGGAGGTTCGACCTCCACATCGAGCTCCTGTCATTTTCAGATACCCCCTCCCCCCGACTCTATTCTACTTTACTCTGATTTTACCGTTTCTACTGTTTTGCAGGTAAAGCACTGACCTTCCTGCTGCTGCAGCCCCCCAGCCCCAAACTGCCTCCCCACAGCACCATCCGCCGCACCGCCATCGATCTGATTGGCCGAGGCTTCACCGTCTGGGAGCCGTACATGGACGTGTCGGCGGTGCTCATGGGACTGCTGGAGCTCTGTGCTGACGCCGAGAAGCAGCTGGCCAAGTGAGTCCACAAGCACACACACACACATACAAAGTCAAATGTTGCTGTTATTGATAAATGACAAACACGATCGATTTCATATCCTGAAATAGATCATTTAAAATAAACTCTGTAGCTAAATATATAAAGACAACGGTAAGAGGAGCCAAGGAAATATATATGAGAAAACAGAATTCAGCAGGTAGAAGTCAACAATCAGTTATAGCTCACTTGTAAACATATATATGTTAAGAATTTTGCTTTTAAGCTTCTATTTCCAAGAAATACCACGTCTACATGTCCACATGCCTGCTATATGTTAAAATTTAGTCATCAATAATTGGACCAAATCTAGATGTGAAAGATCTTGAGGAAATGACTTGAGACTTGACTTTAGACTGATGTGCACAATTGAAGGTGCAGTGTGTAACACTGAGGAGGATCTATGGGCACAAATGGAATATAATGTTCATAGGTTTGTTTTCATTAGTGTATAATCACCTAATCACCTTGTTTGCTCACCTAACCCCTGGTCTTTTAAGACTTGACTTGGACTTGGCCCCAAAAACCTTAAAAGCAGCTCTGGAAAAACAAAGCTTACATTGAGATTTAAGTGATACAGAACAACATAAAGACACTGTGGTTTAGTCCTCTGTCCTCAGTTTCTGCTCAGGAACTGATTGGTTGATTGATTGTTTCTGTTTGACTGTACAGTCTTCCCTCTCAGATTCCAGAGTACAGACAACAGCCTACTTATAGATACGGATGTATGCACATACAGACACACACACACACACACACACACACACACACACACACACACACACACACACACACAGAAACACTCAGGCATTATAGAGCTGACACACTGAGCTATGGAAGCTAGGTTGTAATGTGATTGCAGGACATTATGATGATGTAACGATGTCTGCGTTGCTCTGACATGTGAGTCCTCTGTCTGTGTGCATGTGTGTCTGTCTGTGTTCATGTGGTATCATGAGCTTTTTTTCTTTCTTTTGTTTGGTTTTCCCCACTAGCAGCGGCGCTTAAAGCCCTTTAGAACCCCTCTAGAACCCCTCACATATTAATGACCAGTTTACAAGCCAATCGCAGCCCAGACCGGTTTTGACATGTGCAGTATCTTGCTTGTGGTACCTTTTAAAATAAAGGAGGCTTGAAAGAACTCACTCAAAAACGCTAAAAGTTCTTGTATCTCGACTTGTATCAGTCACTGTGACTGCTCATCCATCCCGACTCTCTGAGGTAACCCTGCCAGGAGTTGGTGTTGATCACAGATGTTGACAGCAGCAGAGTCTGCTTCACTTCCATCGACATCACAGCCAGCAAAGAGGAGGTCAAAGGCCCTGGCTGTCTTCATACAGTCGTAGTGGTGGTTGTGGTTGAGTTAATGCAGTGTTTTGTATGAGTAAAGGTCAGAGGTCACAGAGAGAAGGTGATTCAGTGGCATCATCTCGTATGGTACAAAGGTGTGTGTGTGTGTGTGTGTGTGTGTGTGTGTGTGTGTGTGTGTGTGTGTGTGTGTGTGTGTGTGTGTGTGTGTGTGTGTGTGTGTGTGTGTGTGTGTGTGTGTGTGTGTGTGTGTCTTCCTCCCTGCTGAAATCTAACTGGCCAACATGAGTTGATCCTATTAAGGCTGAAACTAGAGCTGGGTGAGTCTGGTTAAATGAGTATAGATATGTCTGCTGCTGCTGTGTGTGTGTGTCACAAAAACAATGCAATTAAATTTTAGTTGAATACATTTTTAGTGGAATAGAAAGTGAAGAGAACTTGAGCTTTTCTCAAAAAAAAGTTCCATATGGTACACATTTCTGTTAAAAACAGAGTGGAAGGTTTTTTTGGCCAATCATCAGGCCTGATAGATCTTCTGTAATTCTATCTGAAATACTACAACTGTTACAAATAATGATTATGGTAGTAATGTTAAAATGAAGGATTAGTATAGAAAAAGTTGTGATAGGCTAAATTCAGTCATTAATTGAAAAAGTGGACAGACTCGTGATTAGAGTGGCTTTTTTCAAATTAATTACTTAAGATAGGTAAACATATAGTCTGTCATTTCTGCCACTAGGGAGTCTCTCTCATCAACACAATAACAAAACGCATGACCTTTGTTGGAAACATTTGGGATAATGTAAGTACACAATGCAACTACATATAGAACACAGCTCTGGAACATTAAGACCCAAGCATGGTAGGAATTTCCAGAAGTTGTACTAAATGAAGGGCCAGTTGGGAGCCGAAAGCACCGACTGTCACAAGCGGAGCCAAATGATCTGCCTCACAAAATAGAGCCGGAACTACCATCAGTTAATCGTAATGATCAGGCGGGAGTCAGAGATGAGTCACACTGATTTATTCGGAAGATACATTCAAATGAAAAGAGAACACAAGTTAACACGTACAGACACAAGAAGGTTAAAGGTGTGTTCAGACAGAACACAGAGCTCGTTTTAGATGCATCACGACTGCGCACAGAGTCGATGGGAAGACACAAGTGTGCGCACATAGACTTAATATCACTGCAGATGGCACAAATTAAGGCCAAGATCTGTCTGCGCCAGTTTAAACTCGCTTTTCCTGCTTTCTTCACACACACACACACACACACACACACACACACACACACACACACACACACACACACAGAGAAACACCAATATAGTTTATGACCATGTATAATTAATAATGTGATGTCTGCGGGTGTGCCTCCTGGTGTTGTTGAAGTAAACAGCACGAGGGCTGATCAATGAGACACAATAATCAGATCAGCACACTACAATACAGAGGGAGAGACTACATTAATACACACACACACACACACACACACACACACACACACACACACACACACACACACACAGTCTGTTTCAGTATTCCTTCACTGGTGAGTTTATACTGTAAGAAAAAGAGATAGAGTGTGAAGAATTTAATTCATCACTGAAGGGAGTGTGCGCGCGCACACACACACACACACACACACACACACACACACACACACACACATATTACAGAGGGTGTATTTCCATGCAGCTGACTTGCAGTGAGGCTCTTTGTCCCTGAAACACCCAACCAGTCGTCAATACACTCCTTGCAGAGCTGCGTGTGTGTGATAATCCCCCTTCAATAGGCAGAAATTTGAAAAAGCTCCTGGTGTTGAAGAGTTTTTATACTTTCAGATACACAAGCTAGAAAAAAATATACAATACCCCTTTACCAACCCGCACTTTGTGTGTGTGTTACACCTCCAACATAGACCCTCTCCGACATGCATACCTTGTTTTGTAAATGTGGCAGCAGATATACATGTCAACCTCATGTAATACATGTTGCAACATTCCTGTAAGACTCACAACACGAACATAAGTCTGAATTGAATCCATCACATTAATGTAAACACTGCAGCCTTCATTCCTAATAATAAAGCATCCAACTATAAAATCACTGTAACAAATTTATAACTTAGTTAAAAAAACATAGTTTTTCATGAATTATGCACAAAAAAGTCAAACTAGCTTCATACACCACACAACAGTGAATGAGCCAGTTTTGAGTTATTGAGGAGATTCTTCTAATGTCTGAGCAGTCTTGACAAAAATCTGAGGAAATACCGGAAGTAAACAAGTCGCCATTACTGCGGTGACGTCTCCCTACAATAGGTGCACATTTAAATGCAAGCTCTCCTAAGAAGTGTACACTTTTCTACTTTTCCCATTACTTTCTTTGTAACGTTGCTTTTACAATGATCTCTAGGAAATCAGGAAGAAGCTGTGCAGTTAACTTTGGACCATACTCTTTACATAGATTCCCTGAACATGGAGAGGACCAAGATGTTCATGTGCCAGGGGATTATTTAAAACATGATTGTATTTACTATTACAACTTGCCACTGCAGTAATGGCAGTGGTGCTAGATGGAAGAACACACAAACCGATTGCTGGATTTATTTTTTTTAAATAAAAGGTACAAGGTCAACAAACAGCATTCAAAAATAATAAGGTGTTTGTGGTAGTAAATGTCGACTGAACGCAAAACATGTTGCTCATGCCAATGTTAATACAATACCCTTCATCATTTTATGTATTTAAATTGTATTCAAATTAGATTTTTTTTGTATTTAAACTAGGTTTTGACATAGGCGCCCTCTAAAAGACCTCAATATTAGGTTATCTCTAATTAATACACAGTGAACCTGGAGCCTTAGGGCCTCTGTGGGTCTTGGCCCTGGGCATTTTGCTGGTTTTGCCTGGTTGGTAATCCTGCCTTGATGTCAACTGTGTGGAATAGTCAGGAAAACCCTTAAAGGTCCAGTGTGTAACATTTAGGAGGATCTATTGGCAGAAATGGAATATAATATAATGGTATGGGTTCATTAGTGTATAATCACCTGAAAATAAGAATCATTGTTTTTACCTTAGACTGAGCCCGCAGACACTGTTGGCTGCCTTCCAAGGACGTTTCACAACCATTCTTATTCTAAGGTGATCATAAACTAATGAAAAAATACTTGTGAATATTATATTCATTTCTGCCAATAGATAGGACTTGTAATGCGTAGACATGAGATTGACATTGATCGTCTCACCTCAAAAAGTTCAAAGGATTCTTTAAGTCACAGATTATGGGCCATCTTGATTAAGGATTTTTGCAAATTGTAAATGTAGATAAAACATGTAGGTTAAAACATACTTCATGTCATAACCGAAATTAACCAAAACAAGGGGTGGAATTTTTGAATAAGCCCTCTGAGACTTTCAAAACCTCTGACTTCCAATAAATCTGTGAATCAAGAGTGTAACCTCATCAAATGTCCTACAGTGAACTATAATTTCAAGGCTTCTTGCTGACCTGTCGATGTTTCCCACTCTGCTCTCACTTGATCAGAGTGTGATGTGTTGGTAGTCGCGACCGCAGAGATAAATGCATGTTGTAATATGTGTGTGCGATATGGAGAATATAGTATTTATTTGACATGCAGGGATAAATACATCTATTTACATTGT